AATCTTGTCCTAACATAGCAATGTCTAGTTCCACTGAATCAGAAAAATGCTGTTATCCGATTACATAAACGTTTATTCATTTTTGTAGATACACATGGATATCATTAAACCTTGGTTTTAGTGTGTACACAAGTCTAAGTTTGACACCAGAAGTGGCCATCGTTCCATTCTCATTAGTTATTACTGATTTTTGTTTGAAATAAAGCTGTATCAGCAGTTAGTCGGATGTATTATTGGCTTACAATAGAGCCAAAGGGTTAGAAAGAAGAAATTGAAAATAGATATTTTCCGTTGATAGTTAGTCGAACCCATAACATGTTTACAGCATGTAGATATTCCTGAGCACATGCATGTACGCATATCTTGACTGTTGACTTTACTTAAGTGCTTGTGGAATATAATATGCGTAGTAGTAGTTCGGGATGTCGTGAAGTGTAGTTTGTGTGAATAGAGCTGTATTTCTGAATGCATGTGGTATGTTCACCAAGTAATCTGTTTTCATACTTGAACCAAACAAACAATAATAGTCTCCCACTGCTATGATTATCTGTAAAAACAATGTGAAACAACTAGGTATCCAGAACATGTTTATGCCAATTAATTTAAGTATACAGAGGGTTTGAATTGAAATCTTTTCTATAATACTCATTCGGCGTTGTATGAGAGTATTATTGTCCTCACTTTTGCAAGCTTTTTAACGACTTATTTTTTTAGATACTTGAGTTTCCTTATTACAGTAGTTTTATTATGTCGTTTACAACTAAGGCAGTTTGAGTTCATCGTATTTGTTTGTGTTACTTAAATCACTACATATATTCATTATATACTAGATTGTTATGTCACCAGATAATACTGGATTTTTTTCTCAATTAACTAGTTTAGACATGCGAATATAATATGAACATAAATTAGCTTATATAATATATCATCTCACCTACAATTGTCTGTTCATGTTTAATTTTGTTAAATCTTTCAATGAACTTAATTAACAGTGTCATTAGAATAGCAACAATTTGTATATCTTAGTTCTATTATTATTATCATGTCTGTATGGACATATGTGCTTGATTACGTGTTACACCCATCACACGTATCTCTCTTACTAGCTTCATTGTTAATTATTTAAATCGTTTGATAACTCATTCGCTTCATATAAATGAGCTCGAATTTTATCAATTCATTTAACTCTTAATTAGCCTTTTTATTTGCTTGCTTGCTTGACTTAAAATTTCATTTGGTATGCTTGTGGCTTAGTGATCAGCTCTGTACAATAATAAGCCGTAGTCAATGATTTGTATTGTCTTCTGAAGTTTATAACGGTTGTTAGGACGAGCGATATACGAAGCCTTAGGAATTATCCCAAATATAATCCACCACGATAGACTCCGATGCATACATTACTATAAGGCTTACCTATTCAAGCATCAAACAGTCGTTAACACGTAACTAACTAAACAAGACACTTCTCACTTACTTACGCCTGTTACTACCAATGGAGCATAGGCAACCGACCAGCATTCTTCAACCTACTCTGTCCCAGGCCTTCCAATTGTTGTTCATTCTTTTCATGTCTATCTCCATTTCTCTGCGTAATATGTTCTTTGGTCTTCTTCTCCTCCTTTGGCCTTGAGGATTCCAGGTGAGGGATTGGCTTGTGACGCAGTTGGGTGCTTTCCTAATGCTTTCCTAGTTCTCCACGTTTCCGCCCCATACTGTAGAACCGTCTTGATATTCGTAGTGAAAATTCTGACTGTGGTGCTGGTTGACAATTGTTTTGAGTTTCAGATGTTCTTTCAGTTGTAAATATACTCCTCTTACTTTGCCGATCCGCACCTTCACATTTGCATCAGATCCACAGTGTTCATCAATGATGCTGACCAGATATGTGATGGTTTTTACATCTTTCAAATCTTCTCCATCAAGTGTGATTCAATTGATGCATGCTGTGTTGTATCGTAGAATCTTGATTTTCCCTTTGTGTATGTTGGGACCTCATGCTGCTGAGGCTGCTTCTACAATGGTCGTCTTCTGCAATTGTTGTTTCGTGTGAGATATAACAGCCAGATGATCTGCGAATTCTAGATCGTTCAGCTGCATCCTGGCTGTCCGCTGTATTCCATGCTTCCCCCAGATGTTGGCATCTTCATGATCCAGTCGATCACCAGGAGGAAGAGAAAGGGTGAGAGTAAGCAACCTTGCCTGACACCGGTCTTTACTTCGAACGAGTCTGTAAGCTATCCATCACACACGATTTTACAGTTAAATCCATCATAGGAATTCCGTATGAAACAAGTCACTTCACCTAACTATAATCCAAAAACTTTCTTGCTGAAAACTTTACTAACAGGACGATGAATTTTCTTGTCATCTACCATATAACCACTACCATTTTCATAAATTAGTCGAGCCAGATCATCTAGATAATAAAAAAAGAATTCATTACACACTGATACGAAGTTGTATATTCTTCTTCCAATACAGCTTATTAATTTCTGATCAACATCGTCAACTTGAATAATACTGACTCGTACAGCCAATATGTAGTTAATTTAGCTGGATTTAGAAGATAGATGACAGCCAAATGCTTATGTAAAAGCGAATAATTTTTCGACTGGGTGTAGTTATGCTTTGGTAAATAACACATAAGTTAGGTTGTTTTGCGAAAATGTGCGTAGACAGTTAACTATAGATAAGTTTTACTATACTGTACTTGATTTAAAGAAGTGAAATCTGAATTACGAAATCATTATTAGAAACATTTATTCAAATAGTAGTAAATCAATTCACATCTTCTATATGTTCTTGTTGAGCTACTTCACATAATTGATTAATTCATCTAAGAAATAAAAGAAATAAAAATGAGTAATAGAGTATAACGTTACGGGAGGAAAGTTAAAATAAACGCATCAGTATTTAACGTACTGCTATCACAGTCTATGATGTACTACTGAATGGAATATAATCCTTCAGGGTATAATGCAAGACCTACCATAATTACCATATTTTTTAGCAGCATTAGGCATGACGAATACTATAGTGTTAGCTCAAACATTTTGGTACACACTTATGACATGAATATTAGATGTATAAAATGTGATTCGCATAATCGTATATCAGTAGTTTAGGTGTAAATACGTTTTAACTACAGGAAAATAGGTCTACTTCCTAACCCTTTCATTGAAACCACAATTGCATGATAAAATGCTACAAAATTTGTTATGTCTATGTAGGTTGGTTCTTACTTGGCAGTGTGCAATCTTTTAACCATATAAAAAACGGTTTTTTTCTTTGTAATCACTTGCACTACACAAATTCAAGTAAATCTTACCAAATATCTTTCGTAATTGGTCTATATACCCTAAAGTGAGGACATTACTCGTCAATGTAAGTTAATTAATCACAAGGCGTAATGTAATATAGAGTTGTAGAGGTTAGTGTTATGTCAAGCCCAAATGGGTTATTCTAGTTTCCGTACTGATCAATTCATTTATAATCTATTAGATAAATAGCTAGCTGAATGCTTCACTGAAAATTTGCTTTTTATGAACTGAAAGAACAATTATATATTTAAACAATATTTTATTTACAAATATATTTACTTTACTTTACGTTGAACTTAGAGTACGAATTCATCGTACTCCTCAAGAGTCCCATATAACAGTTAATCAGTCATTCCAGCGGAAAGTGTAAATATAAGATTGATTATTAACTAGTTGGCCAGGGTAAAAGGAGTGGCTGAACATACTTATTTTGGATACAAAGCTCTGGCTTTTTGATCTTATAATGTGGTGACGTAATCTGATTAATGTTCATTTTATGTCCCAAACTTATTATTATTATTACTGTTATTATTATTATTATTATTATTATTATTATTATTATTATTGTCTTTACGCTTGATAACCCCTTTTTGAGGAATTTATTCAATATCAACCTCTGAATCTACTATATTTGACCTAATTATTTTACATATTACGCAATTTCCAATTTGTAATCACAATATCCTCTCTCTCTCTTACCCCATGTTGACCATATTTATTCTGATCATTATTTATCTCACAATTTCATTTCTCTTATAAACTGATTCAAGTTAACACTTCATATTAGTCAGCCCCAACATTAACAATTTCATTTATATAACAAACAACAATTCCTGTTTCACATATTACAATTTCCAAATGATTATGTATTTTGCCTTAAATCTGGCCAATTTTATGGATTATTAATCTGGATTTATAATTGTAGAACCTGATGAGAAATTATTGAAAAGAATATTCTTCGTTCATACAATTGTGTTTTAATATCAAATGTGATCGACTCCGATTTTTTTGTTTACATAGCTTCACAAAGTCTATTACATATAGTAGAATGTATTATTGATTTTAAAAAAAAACTTTGAGACGAAGAGCAATGTGATGTTAGTTGTTGTGACGTGTGACTGCAGATTAGATGCGCAGCGTTTTATCGATCGATTTAGTGACACGTAAAACACATACGAACGACCTAGGGTCCCGATTGGACCTGCTTCGCTGTCTTTCCCAGCCAGTTGAGTCCAGAACACGAGTCTCAGCCTCTGAGTTATGAATCATTTATATACCAAACAAACAAACCACATCCTACCATAAAATAGAAAACAATATTTGTACAACATTTAACAAGTGAAACAAATATCGACCAATAGGGAATGCCAATTTAAAGTCCAAGGACACTATTAGACTTAACATGATAATGATTGGTATATTTTTCTGCGCATCCTAACATCAGTAAACTTTGTGTTAGAGCACGTTTTAACTAGCACAGAAACATGATTCAAATGGAAAATGTAAACAGATATAAAGTGTAAAAGCTTAAACAATAACGTATAAATTTAAAAGTGATGAAATGGTGATCCAGTTCGTTTTGATTTCTTCAACATTCATAGTCAAACTATAAACTCATTTTATCAACCAGTCAATGTAATCGACCACAAAGAGAACAAGCTGAATCACCTTGAAACTAATATGAAATACTGTTCCTTAAATAACTCACTTAGAAATAAAGTATGCTTAATTAATATTTCAAACAACCACACAAACAATCTGAGACGTAAATTATTTCGGATCAGTTCCATTTCATTACTCATCACATCGCTTACAGTTACATATTGCATATCATGTGCAGCTTATTACGAATTTATGTTGAAGGAATTCAGTTTAGTAAATAATCGCATATGTCAATACTTATTCTCAAAGAACTTGAGTTGGCTGGAGTACATGGTGGTGAGAAGTATTCAATCACCATCAAACGGGGACTACTCAAATTTGACGAACTCTCATGCATGCAGTGAATTCAAGTTATTTCGTGGTGAAGTTGTTCAGTCGACAGTGGAAGAAAAACAATTCCCTCTTGCATTCAGTTTAGCTATTCATGAGAATATTAAACAGGCAGCTCGTCTCCTTCGTCTAATTTACAGATCACATAATTTGTACTGTATTCATGTGGATTCTAAATCACCACAAGTTTTTTATAATGAGGTAATGGAGTTGGCTAGATGCTTCGGTTCGAATGTGATGGTGGTGAATCGATCGGAAAGTGTGGATGTTCGGTGGGGATATTATTCCATATTGGAAGTGTTCCTTCTATGTGCAAAGAAGTTGATAAACAACAGTGAGATTAACTGGAGGTATATTCTGAATGTGAGTGGTCAAGAACTACCACTTCGCACCAATTGGGAATTGGTTGCCTTGTTGAAAGCGATAAATGGGTCAAATATAGTTGAAAATTTGGGACCTGGGCATAATCCAGAACGTTGGCCAAATAAGAATCTCACGTTCCCGGTAAATTTCGTTGTCTTTGCTATGTACATCATAATTTATTATAGTATTTATGAACTGCCTAGTCATGATTAATCGTGACGTCGTAATTCCAATGAAATTTACTGTAAGAGACCAGTTTACCGCTTCGGACATGCAAATAAAAATGAAATCGGATGAAATGTTTTGTAGTGGCATTTAGTGAGTTAAATGAATCACAGTATTTAAACATTAGGAGATTTGTCTAAACGCTTTAACCGAAACGTTTTGTGGGAGCATACATTAGTAGAGGATAGATGATGAGGTTCGAAATAAGTTCACTGAGACTAAACAGTGACCAGTTTATATCATATAAAGCCTAATAAGTAGCTCAGAAATAATGTATAAAGAAAGACCAATGTCAACGTTTGGAAAGTGAACCAATATTCTAAATCTTGCTTCAAATAAGACTACATTTGTGATAGAGTGAGTTAACATGTTATAATTAAAATAACCCATAGTGTCATTGAATAAGAAAAAGAAGAATTCAGCGAAGAAAATTTTTCTTTTTTTTCGACGAAATCATTTACTTAAGCTGTACAAGTTTTCTTGATTATTATTCAGTCTATTATGACCTTTGTTGTTTTGTCGTTTTTCTTCTTATCTGTCAATTGGACCATTATCTGACCCATAAACGATTTTCTTCCTCACCCCTTGTGATTAGTACGTTAACCTCATTTGTTATTTATTGTCGAATCCATTTTTGTGATACAATCCATTCTATCCTTCTATAGACATACATTTTCCATATAACTATATATACGAATGTACAGCTTAAGTAAATGATTTCGTCGAAAAGAAAATTTTCTTCGCTGAATTCTTCTTTTTCTTATTAACATGTTATAATTGGAAATGCAATGCTTAGTTTGATTGCGTAACCAGCTTTCCTTTTGTCAAATAACACATTCCACTAAATAGTATATGCATCTGTATTTTATTTCTTACTAATATAAAAGGGAAGAAGAGTATTTTAAGAAATCTACTTTTACATGCCTTAGTGAATTGTCGGAAGGTCCACATATAGTATGAAGTCAGTGTTTCATTGTTGGCGTCAGCACAGTGCAATCTATCAGATAATAAATGGAATGTGTAAATAATTTGACGATACCATTAAAACGGTTATTAATATTTTCATTCTTTCTACTGTGTGAATCAATAGTCAGGATTTCCAATGCTAACAATGTCGAGCTGATTTAGACATTTAGTGATTCAGTTAAATATTAATGAGGAATGTCCACTAAAATGTTAGTTGTAATACCGAAATTTTTTACAATTTAGTGTCCTGCTACAATTGAATGGATAAGATGTAACATTAGATGGCTTTTTCTTCAGTTTAATTGTCTCTGAATAAATGAAGTTATTCATCAGGTTTCATTGATATATCTTATAATTTTAAGATCATTTGGAGTAAAGGAAGCTTTTACATGGCGTTAAGGCGCGATTTTGTTGATTTCTATCAGAATGATCCAAAAGTAAACGAATTACTTGACGCCATAAAAGCAGAAAAACATTTACCGAAGCATCCGGATGAGCTATTTTTCTCTACATTGAATTACAATCCATTACTTGGAGCTCCTGGTGCTTGCAAAGAAGAATATCTTACAAGTGACTTTGATATACGAGCGATGTACATAGGGCGTTTTGTACGGTGGGCCTATAGATCCTGTAGACGTGGAAAAATTAGAAATGGCATATGTCTTATCGGTATTTCCATGCTTCCGAGTATTCCAAAGCGAATGGAACTTTTCGCCAACAAATTTAGTGAAAATTTTGAACCGATCGCTTATGACTGTACAGAGAATTACATCATAGAAAAGGTTCTAGCAGAAATGAGAACTAATAAACTCAGTTCAAATTTCAATGTGAGCTTTTACTCACAACTCTATTGTTCACAGGACCATATACACTGAAGATTTACTAAATGAGTCTATGAGTTACTGGCTCACAATATTTGAAATATTTTCGTTGGAACACTGTATGACCAATCATTCATATTTGATTTCCCCTATGTAAATTCGTTTTCAATTCGTTCACAATACTATTGTCTATATTGTTCTGCTCATGTGATTTATTGTATATATGTATAGTTATATATGGAAAATATTTGTCTATAGGAGTATAGAAAAGATTGCATCACAAACATGGATTCGAGGATAAATAACAAATGAAGTTACGTACTAATCCATATATTTTCCATATATAACTACATATACGAATGTACAGCTGAAGTAGATGATTTCATCGAAAAGAAAATTTTCTTTGCTGAATTCTCTTTATCTTATTCAATGACACTATGGGCTATTTTAATTACTGTATATAATGAAGCTCAAAATGGATGATGGTTTGGATAGTGAGACTAGCCACTGCTCGTGGACGATTTGTAGTGTACATTTTGATTTACATATGGATAACGTTATGTATCTGTCAATTTCTCAATTCATGCCTTATTTCATGACAACATTGTATGAAGTCGAAAATGCGAGCCAATGAATTTTACCTAATCTATTCTGATGGTATCATTTAAGCTGCTTAACTTGAATACTGTGAATTCTTGCTTGCTTTTGGGTTGTATCAGTCAACCAATGAATGGTTCAAAATTATAATTAACCCGATGTTTAGTTGTCTTTGGTTTGTTTTTCGATAACGATACTAATATTAGAAAACATGTGTAAATTGAATTACGAAAATTCTCGAGATTTAGCTGTTTGACGAAACATTCTTCAAAAAGACCTGTTACATTAATAACATACAGCATAAATAGGTCTTTACGTAAATACATTTCATGTTAAGATCAAAGATATGAAGTGTCATTCTGTAATGATATTTTGCAATTTTTGAAAAGTTAAAATAATACAGGGAAACTGGTGTATAATAGTCAACAGTCTTCATTTTCAAACAGTAGAATTTAACAAAACTTGAAAGGTATAGTGGATGGAACTTTGGAACTATGCAAGTGATCAGTTATTTTGTTTATTTAGTGGCATATATGTATAGCATTCAGCACTTTAATAATAAAATTTACTTGAGTCACTTAAGGATTAGTAGATTTTGCTGCACAAAACAATGAATGTAATCTTGAAATTATCATCAGCTTGATTTTGTTATATCTAGAGCTTAGATTTTTAATACATCTCGTATAACTTGAACAACTCGGACGATAAAACCCACTAAGTCGCAGATGAGAAGACAGAAGACAAGTGAAAGGAATGCTATTCCAAACAGTATCATTTATGGTACATACAAGGGGTTATTAGCACTTGTTCAATAAGGAAGCTGCATGTAGAGATTCTGGAATAGTCTTCCAAAAGATAATTGTATGGAATATCTTCGGCTCTTTCTGAGATTCTTAGAGCTTTCTTTAGTTTACCCGTGAACCATCCTCACAGATTGATTAAATCATATTAATGACATTAACTGCTAACACATTATAGATAATAGTTTGGAACATAAACCTTATTATTATGTTTATTTACTCAGTTGTTAATATCTTATATCCATGAAATTTATGTTTTATGTTGAACAAATTGGTAATTCGTGAAATTTTCAGTTTCTGGTTACTAACGTCTTTAAAACTATTTCGTGAGTCAAATGAAGGGGAAGTGATACAATTACTCTAGAGTTTATTGATATAATAATGAAGTAATCACTTTATACTTTATTGGTGAACATAAATCTAAACATTTAAAATAGTCATTCAATGTTAAGATGTATATAAACGTTTCCTCAATCTTTATGGTTTGTATTTAGAATCTACTTCTGAAACTTAATAGTCCTTTATAAGATGTATAAGAAAAACCTAATAAATTGACAAAGGTAAAAATGCAAATAAACTAGTATTTTATGAATGAATATAATCACTTTGCAATAATGCCGAATAAACTTAACAAACATAATAGAACCTCCAGTAAAGACTTGTTTAAATCTTTGAAAACACAACTTATTAGGTACCTAATGGCAGAAAAATTCGATCATTTTTATAATTTTAATAAAACGTTCCACCATTTTTTGTTTTTTTGACATTATATATATTCTGGTATTCAATCAACTTTAGCTATATATATTAATTGTATGATTCATTACTTATCATATTCATTATCTAAAGTAAATTATGACTAGTGTTTGTAAATACATCGTTCTTCGGTGTTAGTGTTCTGTTTTATTGGAAAGGGCACAGGCCATATAATAACTACACATATTAGATCAGTCTTGTTCATTTTTGATTTGTGAACTCCATGAACACAAGTGACAATATTATACTAGCAATACGGATCAATTATGTAATTGTTTACAAGAAATTTATAATTGCATACATACTCGGCAGTAGTGCAATGACATATGATTCTTTAAACTTGAGTGTTATAAATATTGTTAATGTTGTACATTTTCATGTCCTCTCACTTTTCGAAAGAGATCACCATTCCTGAGTTACTGTAGCCCTGACTGATATAATTACCGCATCACTGACAGTGTTATTTGCATGTGTCAGTGTGAAATAGAAGAGATTTCCGAAAGATCTGATTTTGATCTGATTAGTCTGGTTTATGAAACTGGCAATTAACATGTCATAAATCACCATCTTTTAGTTAGACTAATTATAGTTGTTAAATTAATAAAGATTATTGCACTCGATATAGAGTAGTCTTTTAGTTGGGGAACAACCTAGTTTCAGGAAAGTATATTGACATTTTCATTAAATCAGAAAATCGAACTGAATTAACAGATAGAAATTTTCAGTTGATGTCATATATAGTGGTAAATAACGTAGGAAAATAAATAGCTTCGTAAATATTCGACTGTGGTGTTGGTCATATTGGTTTCCATATACATCACAAGCTGAAGGTGCTCAATCAGACATTATCATCAAATCAGAACACCAACATATGTGAAGTGATTTTTCCCTTAGATAGGTATTTCAGAAAATATTCACTTTCCTTTCACTGTCTGCAATGAAATATACTTTCCTCCAAATCGTTATAGTCTTTTTATATATCTTTGCATTAACTTTGATGAGGTATCTGAAAAGCAACATTGTCCGATTGTTCTTGTTTTTATCGATCGACCGGCTACCTGACGTTCTAAAAACCGTCCATCGAATTCGTTCTCGGCTCCAGTCTCTATATTTTCGTATACACTGTATTTTTGTTGACAGATATTGTACACATATTTTATAGCTCATTGTGGAACAAACCTTGAATCTAATTTGACTTGAAATACCCTGTGTCCCTGATGTTTGGACTAATTAATGATTTCTTCGTACATTATTCTCAGTCAGTCAGTCAGCTACAACGTAGGACCAGGCACATATGTGCAGAGGTCCAGGTTGCCATACCGCATCAGCACAACAAGATGAACACCGGATTCACAGCAGTGGTTAGGTCAAGGTGGTAATATATAAGAGAAAGATTTCAGATAGAGATATAGTACAAGAAGAAAGAATTGGTTCGTAGAAAGAAAGATATGAAGTGATTTTAATCTCTTAGTTTAAGGGAAGACAGGGAGTGTACATTATTCTACTCCTGATTTAAACTGCTAAATACGATACCATTAGGTGTGTTCACTGTTACTAGTTAGTATACAAAATTTTTATTAGCCCTGGAATATCTGACTTCAATTAGATCGTATGATTGATTGTCATTGAAATATTCATGTCGGCTATCCTCGCCTATAATTATCGACCTAATCCGCGTTAGTGAATAACGGAATTAAATAAGCCAAATATGTGAATGAATTTCGAATACGTGTATCTCATACAATCGTTGATCTAGAAAAACGAGCAAAGAAACGAAGAGAAGAGAGAGAAGTGAAATGACATGCAGTGAAGACGTGTGAGCTAACTCGGTTTAACCAAACGTAAATCAACATTTATAGTCTGACGAAAATAAGTTACAGACATGTGATGAGTAAGATAGGAAATGCATATATATTCGCTCACATACAAACAGTCAAGGTTGATAATCGAATGATTACCAAGATCAAAACGTGACTTAAAAAAAGAATGAATAAACTGATCTATCTGAAAGCTAGGAAAAGCTGTGAGGACTTAGCATTGCAACCAAAAATAAAAGAGCTAATTAATAATAAAAACACACTTTATGAAAGTCTTTTTCGATAAAGTTTCGTTTTTAAATTTTCACAAGTTCAGACTATTCTCATTTCACTTCAGAGCATTGCAGTGAACAAGTCAGCATTTTACGCTGATCGGATACAAATCATCAGAGATCTCATGGAGGTCTTCTATCAAAACGTTGGTTTGGTTTTCTTGTGACGATGACTGTAATGACGTTTTGCCATTTATCTGAACGTTGCTTAACGGCTTATCAGTAGTCTGGCGATTTGAAACGTATTTGGCTTCAAATACTACCTGCTTTAAGGAGTCATAAAGAATGCTGTGGAACAGATTAAATACAACAAGACTAACTTGCTCAACACGTCACGTACAGTCATTAACTAATAACAAGGTTTTATATATAGGCTGCTCCCCCTAGAGAGTAATTTAAAAAATTACATCAATAAATCAGGAAAATTGTATGATGAAACGTTTATGGAGATAAAACAGCTAAGTATTAAATAAATTTGAGTAATGGGACTATTTAATGTGTTGAAATTTTCGGCAAGAATACAATTTGTGGACGAACTAATCAGGTATAAGATAACAGGCCTTGGATTTTGGTGCGTAATTCACTCATCCACTTGGCTAAATAGAGTTTTGGCATTGTAGCTGATGTCAATTCGTGATGAAAATCTTAAATCTTATTTATTACCCTAACCATCAAATGCAAATCATAATTATAATTCCTCACACAGGTTTATAATCCACATTTAGTACTAGTTATTAAGTGGACACTCTCAAGGTCAGTCTAGTGTCGCTCAAAGGTCGTCCATAAATTATAGTTTCACCAGATTTTCTGTG